TGAAGGTTCTGAACTCATGATCTAATCACATCACAAAGACCCCTTTTCAATCCCATGACCTTGGGGGTACACTTCAACACATGAACTTTAAGAGGATAAATATCTGGATTTCAACACTCGTATTTCTTTTTTACTTCGAAATTTTTTTTCTTTTGCCAATTTTCTGTTATATTTCTTTGCACATTTTTTTTCTTCTACTATGTGTTTGAAGATTACCTTCCCCCACCGCCCCCCCATTCCTGAGGCTTGAACTTGGTCTGAGCACTAATCCCTGAGCTTCTTTTTGCTCAAGGTTAGCACTCTACGATTTAGGCCAAAGCTCCACTTCCAGCTTTTTCTCAGTTGTTTATTGGAAATAATCTTTCAGCCAGGACTGGCTTTGAACAGTGATCCTCAGATCTCAGTCTCCAGAGCAGCTGAGATTACAGGTCCCTGGCATACTCTTAAACCATGCCCCCCCCCCTCCCCCCCCCCCCCCCCCCCCCCCCCCCCCCCCCCCGCCCCCAGCTTTTTTGTAGTCATGGGGCTTGAGCTCTGGGCCCTGGCGCTGTCCCTCCGCTGTTCAGCTTAAGGCAATCACAGCGCCACTTCCCTTTTCTGGTGGTTTATTGTAGATAAGTGCCTCATGGACTTTCCTGCCCAGGCTGGCTTTGAACCGTGTTCCTCAGATCTCAGCTTCCTGAATAGCTAGGACAGGTGTGAGCCACTGGCACCCAGCAAAACTCTTTAAGAAAAAGGCATGTTGGCTCACATATATAATGTCATTTGGGAAACTGAGGTAGAAGGATCTAGGCCAGCTAGGACTATAGAATAAATTCCAAAGTATCCTTGGCTCATACCTATGGTTCTAGCTAGACAAATCCAAGAGACTCTTACCTTAAATTAACCAACAAAAAGCCAGAATTGGAGTCATGGCTCAAGTGGTCCAATGTTCACTGTGACTGAGATAGACAAGGGTGAGCTCCTGAGTTCAAGCCCCAGAACTGGCACAGAAAATTATCAATCAATCAATTAATCCATCAATGCAACGAGTGAGGAAGAGGGACTGATTATGGTAGAGTTATGGTAGGTCAATATCAATCATCACCTCCAGTAGCTTTCTTAGTCTAAAGTGAAATTAGGGGACAAATTGGTTGGGGATGCCCCCCTTTTTGAGGGGTTCCCCTGGTAAACAAAAGGGGGAAATTCCCTTAAGTATGGTAGAACCTTAACAGAAAATATAGGGGCTGGAGGGGAGAACAGATCCCTACTTGCTGGTGGGAAACTGGGAGGGTGGGGAATTCCTAAAAACTATACTTATAGAGTAGGAGATCCCCTTCTTACTCAGTTTCTTTGTTACAGGGTATTCTGAGAGTGGTGATTGCTGTCCCCTTGAGGCTTATTTCTGATTCCTTTAGGGTTTCCAATCTTCCTTCAGGGTATAAAGGACTCTGTGTGAGTGTGTGTGTGTGTGTGTATGTGTGTGTGTGTATACATGTATATACTGTCTGGCTATTAGCATAGTGGTCGTAGAATTTAAGTCATTTATTTGTATCACTTCAATCTAGTGATACATTCCTAATCAGTTCATATTTAAATCTAAATATGAGATATGCCTTTTGGGAGCGAGGCATGTTGGTGTGTGTCTGTAATTAATCCTAGTACTCAGAAGGTGGAGATAATATAATCTTGAGTTTAAGGCCAGCCTGGGTTACATTACATTGTCTCAAAACAATGCCCGGTGCCAGTGGCTCACCCTGTAATCCTAGCTACTCTGGAGGCTGAGATCTGAGGATCATGGTTTAAACCCAGCCCCACGGGAAAGTCCGTGAAACTCTTATCTCCAATAAACCACTAGAAAACCGAAAGTGGCACTGTAGCTCTAGTGGTAGAGCGCTTGCCTTGAGCTGAAGAGCGCAGAGACAGCATCCAAGTCCAGAGTTCAAGCCCCATGACTGACAAAAAAAAAAAAAAGTGAAAGAGCCCATTTTTACTTTCCATCACCTTAATCTTAGATAATAATTAACTTCAGTAATTCCTCTTTTAAGGGGAAAAAGGCCATACGCAGAATACAATTTTTTTAACAAAACATATAGAACTTAAAAAAAATTCATTACGGACAAAGCATAGTCTCACTATTGCATTCTTCATACCGGTGCCTCTTATATTACAAAAATATAGTCATAATATGCAGAATGCTCTAATTTCTCCAAAGTACAGATTAAGGGCCAGGTCACAGTTCTTACTGCTTTAAACTTTCTAAAAATCAGAACCTACAACTGCACTTATCTGTGAACTCTTATCAGAACAAGTGGCCTTCATCAACTGGTGGTCAGGGGATAAGCAACAGTAAGTTTATTACTGGGAAACTAACTCAACCCAAGACTTTTGTGGATAATAGTATCTGTCATTCCTTACATTGAAACTACATTGAATCTACAATAAAATTAGAATTTATTGGTTTTTTTTTGCTATATAACACTCCTCCTTTACATAGATAATAAAATTACAGTGGATTAAGTTTAAAACTTGTACAATCAGTGTATGAATACGTATATACACGCATATGTTTAGTAAAGATGCTGTGTTGGACAACAGAGAATTTGGAATACATGTTAGATCTCTTAAAAAAGAAAATAGTATAATATGTTAGGGAAATTTTGCCTCTTACAGTTAATATAAGAAACATACCATATTCCTAATTAAAGCTTTCCATGCTATCTTTACTTAAAAAATAGAAACTTTAAGAACAATAAGAACCATAAAACTAGAAGACACTAAATGTGTGCTTTAAAAAAATACATATACCTCATATGTGGTAATATAATACTGCAAAGGGTTCATTTACCTTTCTCAAAGCATATCCTAAGATGTAAATGAAAAAAAAAAAACTACTTGCCCATTCATCTTTTTATTCAGTTGTTTAAAACACATATTAGTTTGTGATATAATTTTAATAAATATATTCCTTTCTTTTCTGTTCTCTTTATAGGGCCAAGACAGGACTTGAACTGGGGTACTTAAAGCTTTCCTTCATTGGCTAGTGCTCCACTAGCCACGCCCCCAATTCCTAGTTTCTTTAAAGGGGCAAGGGTGTGTGTGTGGGGGGGGGGGGTGTACCTCCACAGTTTGATAACATTTTTTAATTGACCTGAAATAGGCTTGGACAAAATTGTGTTTCAGATTTACTGTACATCTAACTAGTAATCGCGTTAGTGTTCGGTAGATTTAGCATATTTAAACAAATGTGAAAACCAGGATGGATGCGGGCTCCAAATTGAAAATCTTTTTTTCTGAAAAAAAAAAAAAAAAAAAAAAAACTCGACTAAGATTGTAACAGTGGAAGGGTCGTTCCCAGTCCATCTGTCCGAACCGTTCTACATTCCACGCAGTGTACACGGTGCACGCCTTAAAAATACCGATTTTTGTCTTTGGGCGCGATCTCCGATCTCCGGAGCTGCACTCGCCCTGGGAACCGCGCACGGCGCCGGTAGAAGCAGACTCCTCCCCGCTCGTGGGGAAAACCCTGCCTAATATTTATAACGTTATGACAGACTGTAATACTCACAAGGTGGTTGTAGAAGTATAAACACGACTGGAGTTATCTGATTGGCTGCTGGTGATGTAACACCCATGTCAATACTTCCCAGTGAACGCACGTGTTCGACCTTTTATTTAAATTTCCATTTCATCACAGCAATAAGACACTCGGGGCGGTGCATTTTCGGTGCAATGATTATTGCCTGGGGCCCGAGGTGCTGCCTCGCGCACACAATGCACCGGCGGAGGAGGTGTCCGCTCCTGGAACCTCCTCGCGTGAGAGGCAACGCCTGGTCCAGTCTTTTGTGAAGGAACCGAATAAGTTCACTGGCCCGGGCACCGCCACCACCCACCGTCCCCTCAAACACCCCACCCCACCCCCAGCAAATGACAAGGCTGGAGCGCAGCTGCCACCGCAGTCATTTCCAAAGTCCCAGGTGAACTCGTGGAGACGGGAGGAAAATAATGTGCGTCCCGGGCGCGGGTAGGTGCGTGCGGCCGGCGGGCGGCCGGCGGGGCGGGCGGGCGGCGGGGTGGCGGCCAGACCCTGACACTCGCCAGCTGTTTGTCCTCCGCTTAGCCCGGCCCCGGCCGCACACGCCCGCCCCCTCCCCAGACCCCTAGCCCGACGCCGGCCTTTTGTCCCCCCCCTTACACACCCCCGCCCCTAAGCGACTTCCTTCCCCTCCCCACCCCGCGGCCGCACCCCCGCCCCCAGGCCAGAGGCGCGGCCCGGCCCCTTTCCCGGTCCCCAGGCGCCCCCACCCCACCCCGGCCCAGCCCCAAGCCCAGCCCCCCTCCCCCAGCCGGCCCCCACCCTTTCCCCCTCCAGCGGTTACTGCTACCCCGGTGCATTGTGGGCGCACGGTCCGTTGTTCATTTGCCATTCGACCTCCGCCAGGGCCTGGTCGGACGGAAGCGCTCCGCCGGCTTTATTGTCGGTTCGTTATGTGGCGGAGCCCAGCAGTTTAACGCGCCTCCGGCCCGCAGCGCCTCAGCAGCCGGCGTCGGCGTCGGGACTCCACAGCGTGCCGGAGGAAGGATATCTTGTTTGGAGGGTCGGTGTGGTGCGCTCCGCGTTCAAGGAGGGGACAGCGGGCGCAGCGTTGGGTCTTCCCCGCACTCCGCTTCTCAACTTCGAAGGCCCCACGCGCCTGGGCTCGCCGCTCCGCGCTCCGCCGCCCGCCCCCTTCTCCGCGCGGGACGCTGCCCGGAGCGTGGCGGGGCAGGGGGGTGGAGGACGAGGAGAACGGCCGGAGGCGGCGGCCCGGCGGCCGTGGACGCGTGCGGCGGCGGCGGTCCCGGGAGCGAGCGCGAGCCGGCCAGGAGGGTGAGGCCGAGCCCCGCGAGACCCAAACGCCGGGGGCGGAGGCGGAGGCGGAGGCGAGACGGAGGGGGAGCGGCGGGGAGCGCGCGGGACGCGGCCCGAGGCCGGGCGCGAGCCGGGGCACCGGGCGGCGGCGGCGGCGGCGGCGGCGGCGGCGCGCGCCATGTCGTTCAGTGAGATGAACCGCAGGACGCTGGCGTTCCGAGGAGGCGGGTTGGGCACCGCCAGCGCCGGCTCCTCCACGAACAATAACGCGGGCGCGGAGGCCTCGACTTGGCCGCAGCAGCCCCTGCCAAGACAGCCCCCGCCGCCGGCGCCGCCCGCGCTCCCTCAGCCCAATGGGCGGGGGGCCGACGAGGAAATGGAATTGGAGGGCCTGGAGCCCCACGACTCGGAGGCCTCTGCCGGGGTGGCCGCCGCCGCCGCCGCCGCCGCCGCCGAGGAAGCCAAGGAGTTGCTGCTCCCCCAAGACGCCAGCGGCCCCACGTCGCTGGGCGGCGGTGGCGTGGGGGGCCCCCTGCTAGCGGAAAGGAACCGTCGGACTCTGGCCTTCCGAGGAGGTGGCGGCGGCGGGGGTCTCAGCAACAATGGCAGCAGCCGCGGCCGCCCCGAGACCTCGGCGTGGCCCCTGAGGCATTTCAATGGGCGCGGGCCGGCGGCGGTGGACCTGGAGCTGGACGCGCTGGAAGGGAAGGAGTTGATGCCGGACGGCGCGTCCCTGAGCGACAGCACCGAGGACGAGGAGGAGGGGGCGAGCCTGGGCGATGGCAGCGGGGCGGAAGGCGGCAGCTGCGGCAGCAGCAGGCGGTCGGGCGGCGATGGCGGGGACGAAGCGGAGAGCAGCGCCGTGGGAGCTGGCGAGGGAGAGACTGTCCAGCACCTCCCGCTCGCGCGGCCCAAGTCCCTGATGCAAAAGCTCCAGTGCTCCTTCCAGACCTCCTGGCTCAAGGACTTCCCCTGGCTGCGCTACTCCAAGGAGACTGGCCTGATGTTTTGCGGCTGGTGCCAAAAGACCCCTGAGGATGGGAGGACCGTGGATCTTCCCCAAGTTGGGCACGATGAGCTTTCGCGAGGGACCCGCAACTACAAGAAGACCCTGCTCCTCAGGCACCACGTCTCCACCGAGCACAAACTCCACGAAGCCAACGCCCAGGTACAGATTATCTTGCTCCCTTTCCCTGATCTTTTTTTTTTTTTTTTTTAATCGTGAAAGCTTTAGCGGCTACTAAAATCTAAAATCCCCATTTGCTTGGGTGGAGGCGTTGTGCCAATTGGGAGAGAGGTGCGGGGAGCTTATGCGGTGGTAGTGGTGTGATGGTGGCGGTGAAGCCCGAGAGAACAAAGTTTTTTCTATGAAGTTGTGTCTGTGTCGAGAAGTCTGGGATGACAGTGTTCTAATCTCTGCGCCGGATTTCTTTTCTTTAGTTTTATGACTCAAACTTTGCCTCTCAGGCTGAATCAAAAGGAAAGTGAAGTTGAAGTTTTCTCACTTGAGAGATTGACTTTGGTTCAAAATATTTTGCCAGTTGTGATTTTAGGGAAGCCTCCTAGGCGCACGGAGGTTTAGTGCACTGGAGGAAGTCTGACAACTCCAGGGAAGAGTGTATCTATTTGCTTCAGCTTTGGTGCTATCCCTGTCAGGAAGACAACCAGCCTGAAAACTTTTTTGTATCTTGTCAAGATCACGTGAACTAGAGCGATACTTAAAAGGAGAGGAATCTATTTGATTGAAGAATCGATTTCACTCCTTTTGTGAATGATTTTGCTCAAACTCACCTATGTTGAACTTGTTGAATCTTCTTAGCAAGGCTTGGCTTTTGGTAAAGTTACTGTGGTTTTCTCTTTACTTTCACCTAGATTTCTGTTCTGAGATTTTTCTCACATTCTTCCCTTTCAAAAACTTCGTAGTAAACAATTTGCATGAAGTACTTTAAACTTAGCATTGGAAATGTTAGATGTGAAGCTCTGTGTCAGACTTGGAACAGTAGGGGATTTATTTTCCAAACTCCTGGAAAATGATTGGTCCTTAGAAAACAAGTTTTTAGTCTTAACATTTCTAATCTAAAATAGTAGCCTAAACCATTTTGATAGCCAAACGTGTTGATTAGCTCTCCTTTTTTGTGACTAGCCAGCCTGTGGTGATGATGAAATTCATTCTTTTGTATTGGTAGCCAGTCATTGATTTTAAAAGTCAACATTTGGATTCTCCTCCTGTCTTGTGCTTTGCTGTGCTATTTATGGGAGTATTGTTGCAGTTAAGCTATGTATACTGGAGTTAATTAGGAGCAGTAGTAACCCCCATTAGCACAAAAGTTTCCCAGAAGTTTAACTTTAAAGTATAAGGGTATTTTTCCCAGTGGACAGTGCAGTAGTTGTTTTATTTTGTGTCTCTGCACAAGTTTCAGTTGTCCTAGAAGGAAGGTCACTTACATATACAAAGCCCAGAAAGGTTAAGTAAATTGTCCTAAGTCCTGGGTGACAGCTGAGACTGGAGCCTATAAGGCATGTTGTAATGGAAAAAAGAATGGATTTGGAGTAAGCTTTCTGAAGTTACTAGTTTTGTGAGTTTAGGGAATGGAATGAGACAGAACTAACATTTTCTTAGCTTCTGTGTGACAAGCACTTTCTGTTGGTCCATTTTACATCTCGGGCTTTAAAAGGGTTAAGTAATATTGAAGTTATTAAGATGATGAAGGGGGGCAACTTGTGAATAATGAAAACTGTATTTTTCCAAATAAGTGGTAGATTGGTATTAAGGAAAACTTGTAAAAGGCAATTGGAATAAATTTTAATCTACAGTGGACCAGTTACCCTCGCATCTCAAGCCTAGTTTATTCCTATAGGGAGATCTGAATGGGAATGCAAATTAGAATTAGCTGCTTAATGAACAGGAAATCCAGAGGAAAGAATTAACTGGTAACTTTAAGGTAGATTTAGTATGTGTGGATCCTTCTCTAGGCATTCTATATCTGTATCACAGTAAAACCTAATTTGAACTGCCAGATCTGTTAGTCTAAAGACTGTGTATGGTCCCCTTTGTTGAATTTTGAGTGTTTTCACTTTGAATTGATCCTTGTCATTTCTGATTAACTTTAGTATGGAGGGTGTCTTGCTAGTCCAAGTACCGCTACAATTTTTTTTGTCTTATCAATATGAGTGACAGGTTCTTAATCTTAGTCCTTTGAGCAAAGTTCATTTGTTGCCCTGAAGGTTTTGATTACCTGTAGGAGGCAGTATAACACAGCCTGAATGCAAATTTCTTGGGTCCAAGGTCTGGCTGGGCTTGGGTCCTCCTGATCCTCTTACTTTCTTAACAGGAAAATAACCTGTAATTTCCTCATATATGCAAAGTACGTGGGCTAGCACATAGTCATTTCATAACTAATATTTTCATGATTGCTTTCCTTTATTAGTTATTATTGTTGCAAAATTTTAGTATTTTTTTTTTTACTTAATGCTAGAGACCCAATCTAGGCTCTTGCCCATGCAAGGTGAATGCTGTACCAATGAGCTGTACTTGGTGGCTTGGTATGTACTGGTGCCAGCAGTTCTGTAAGTTCTGAAGCCACTTTGTCTCATGGAATCACTCTTGATTCTAGAGTGCAAAATATTTTCTTTTTACCTTCTAAGACTGGCTGTAAGAATCTTGCTGAACATTCTGAGCTTATTTCTCATACATGTAATTTTTCTCATTTTCACAAAGAGTATCTTGTATTACCTTGTCTCTTATGAACTGTCTAATAAGAATTACGGAATTTAGGCAAGAGGTGACTTACTTTATTTCTCCCATTTAAAAAAAAATTTTTTTTTAATTTCAGTACTAGAGTTTGAACCCAGGGTCTTCTGCTTGCTTGCCAGGCCAGCACACTACCTCTTGAGCCAAGCCTCTAGGCAAAGGCTTATTAAGATTTTTATTACTATATATTAGTTGTACAAGGGCGTTCACTGTGACATTTCCGTACTTAGTTCTTTGCCCAAACACAACCCATACTCCCCCCCTTCTTTCTAATCATTCCGTCCCCTCCTTAAAACATTTCAGCAGGTTTCAGTGATCTTTTTTCATATATGAATATAAAGTACTTGGACCATTTTCACCCTTACCTCTGAGCATCCTCATCAGCAGAGTCTGTTTACTTTCCTGTCATCATTTGGGGGAGGGGGACGGTGAGTGGAAGGGCTTGAACTGTGCACTGTCCCTGTGCTTCTTTTGCTCAAGGCAAGCTAACACTCTACCACTTGAGCCACAGTGCCACTTCCTGCTTTTTCTGTTTATGGTACTGAGGAATCAAGTCCAGGGCATCCCACATGCAAGGCAAGCATTCTACCATTAAGCCACATTCCCAACCTTCATTTTGTTTTATGAAGGTGCCGAGGTGCTAGTGTTGTTGTTGTTGTTGTTTGTGTGTATGAATATATATATATATGTATATGTGTATGTATGTATGTGTATGCTGGTCCTAGAGCTTGAACTCAGGGCCTGGGAACTCTACCTGAGGTTTTTTTTTTTCTCTAAGATAGTGCTCTGCCATTTGAATCACAGCTCCATTTCTAGCTTTTTTGTGGTTGATTAATAGGAGGTAAGAGTCTCATGGACTTTCCTGCCTGGGCTGGCTTGGAACTCTGATCCTCAGATCTCAGCCTCCTATCTAAGGAGATAGGATTATACACAAGTTATATCAGCATCCACTTTTAGTTTTATTTTCAATAATATCTTCAGAGTTAAGTCCAAAGATTAGCACATTCAGTCTTTGAGTATCAGGCCTAGAGGACTTTAAAATTGCCTTAATTATAGTGATTACTTACCTCTGTATCTTGGTTCAGACCACTTTCTGCCCAATTGTGAAATTCTGAGACTAAATCACTGAGTCAGTTGTTTTCCCCTTTTGGTGCCAGCCCTGAGCCTTGCACTCAGGACCTAAGTGCTGGCACTGTGAGCTTTTTTGTTCAAGGCTAGCCAATACATTAGTCACAGCTCCAATTCTGGCTTTTTTGGTGATTAATTGGAGATAGTCTCACTGGGGCTGGGAATGTGGCTTAGTGGTAGAGTACTTGCCTTGTATGCATCAAGCCCTGGGTTCTATTTCCTCAGTACCACATACACAGAAAAAGCCTGAAGTGGTGCTATGGTTCAAATGGTAGAGGACTAACCTTGAACAAAAGATACACAAGGACAGTGACAAGGCCAAGTTCAAGCCCAGGACTGCTTCCCCCCCTCCCCCCCCAAAAAAAAGTCTCACTGACTTTTTTGCCTGAGCTGTCTTCGAACTATGATTTTCATATTTCAACCTCCTGAGTAGCTAGGATTACATGCACACAAGCCTGACTGTTTATAGGTTACTCATCCTGTAACATGCGCCTGAATTATTGTTATTAAAAGTTTTGTTAACCTTTCCCGAAATACACTACGCTTCCAGACACCCAGGATGTGATTGAAATGCTGATTGATATGTTATCAGGTGAAGCAAACAAAGGTGAGATAGATCCTACCAGCTTTTTTCCCCTCTGTTTTGGGGGTTGAACTAGGCCTCACACTCCTGCTGGGCTTTTTTGCTTATGGCTGATACTCTTTACCTTGTGAGCCTTGCCATTGTGATGGTTAATTGGAGATTAGAGTCCTTGGATTTGTCTTCCCCTGGGGTGGCTTTGAGTTGCTATCCTCAGATCTCAGCCTCCTGAGTAGCTAGAAAAGAATTCTTGGCACTGCACTTTCTTGTTTTTGATCAAATAGGACTAAAGGTTTATTTGTTGGATTTTTGTTGTTTCTTGTTTTATTCTGCTATTTTTATTTGATTAGTTATTACTTAACAATTTAGGAAGAAAGTTGAAAAGACAGCAGGAAGATTGATATATTACTAAGATAATATATTTAATTCATATTATTATTAAAATATTAAATGGGCCTGTGTTTCATTAAGTTACTATTGTACAATGTACACATTTGTACAATTTATTGCTAGTCCTAAGGCTTGAACTCGGGGCCTGGGTGCTGTCTCTAATCTTTTTTACTACTCAAGGTAGCGCTCTACCACTTGAGCCACAGATCTACTCTGGCTTTCTGAAACTCCATCCTTATATCTCAGCCTCCTGATAATAGGTAGTGAGGACCAGCATCCAGTTATACAATAATTTTTTTAAAATAAGAAAGCTGTTTAG